CCTCGACAAAGTAGCTCAACTCGACAGAACACCGGTACAGTCAACGTTAGTTATGTTAACTAGCAAGAGAGCTAAGTTCTCTATTTAAACCAGGCTTATTTGGTGAGGTACAATCGATCATGGTCATTTTCCAAGGAGATGAACTCCCTAAGTTTTCATTCTCATTTTATCAGGAAAAAGTTGTGCCTTTCTGAAATTAATTCACCACTTAGCCTGTGTGGTTTTTTTTTAGGCTAATGTTAATGCATAAGAAGGTCTAATGTTATGCTCTGAAAAAACATTACTATAAGTGAAACCAATGTAAAAAAAAAAACTAGCTAGCAAATAATAAGCCCTATGATTTGAATTTTAGTGGTATTGATTCTGCATTCCACAATTTCATATTTAAAGACATTTTTAGAAGCTTCACCTGGTAGCCCAGATACTGCTTTGTTAAATATAGATTAGATTTTATTCAAAGACACACTACGAGCAGGGGCGGATTAAGGTGCACAGAGGCCCCTAGGCTACAGTAGTCCGTGGGCCCCCCAACCCCGCCCCCCTCCGCGCCAATGGGGGCCCCCTTGCAGGCTGGCACACGTGGGGCCCCCAACCCCGCCCCCCTCCGCGCCAATGGGGGCCCCCTTGCAGGCTGGCACACGTGGGGCCCCTAGGCTTAAGCCATATCTAGCCTGTGCGTTAATCCGCCCCTGACTACGAGGAAATGGAAAGATATCCAGATAGCAAAATCTTTCTGGCCCGGATGTGGCCCACATCACACATAACCATCTGGCCCACATACCGCATGGAATGACGGCGATTGAGCGGACCGCTCTCGGTTGCCGCATCCCACATAGCAAAATTGGTATGGCCCGGATCTGGCCCACACTATGCGCTTACACCCGGCCCACATACCGCAATGAATGATGGCCCCTTGATGGCCCAGATCTGGTTTACCAGAGGTGGCCCACACATGGGCCAGCACAAAGCCAGATGCAGACATGTTGGTGGCCCTGTTCTGGCCCAGAACAGTTTCAGCTCGGGCACCAAATGTCAGCCTATGTGTACCTTAATCAAGTCATGTAATACCTACTTAATATGAATTCAATATTCATTGAAATATTAAGTTACTTCAAGTTGCTGTACCTTAATTTTTTTGTTTTCTACTCAGAATTGTCCATGCAAATAGTTAAAACACTTTCTTTAGTATTAGTATCTTGTTTTATTTAAGTCAGGGGAAATAAAAAACAACCGCATTTCACAATTCAACAAATGTTAAATAACAGCAATCATCATCACTTCACTAATCCCCATGGGGAAATTGCCTTTTACGTCTCCCTCAACTTGCCCTTTGCAAGTTGTCCGTGAAGGACAGCCACTCATGGCTGCACCCAGGGAGCTGGGGGTTAAGGGCCTTGCTCAAGGACCCACAGACATGCAGAGGCTGGGTTTGAACTGGTGACCTTGCGATTACAGGCGCACAGACTTAGCCCACTGAGCCACACAGAACACATGGTTCCAGTTGTTTGAGTAGAAGAATTTTTTGAAATAAATTACAAATATCAACTCTAAACACAAAAAGCATACAATAGGTATTTTAGACATCCAGAAATTGTGCAAATGTTGCAAAAGCAGTCAAGTAGAAAACAATTTGAATAGTGGAATGTAATCGTGTGCATTATATGTGTGTATGATCAGCAGGGTTTAAATATGAGTACAGTCAATCTATTTCAATACATCTATATTGTACAGCACAATACTATATACAGTACTATACACTATATACAACATCTATACAGTATCTAAGTAGTATTGCATTTGTAAAATGCAACTAGAAAACCCCTTGTCTCATGCTGTCTTGCCATGCTTCCCCGAAGATAATACTTGTCAAATTGGAACGTGTGTCTTCTGTTCAAGTAATTTAGCTGTGGAGCTTAATGAAAATAGTGGGACCACAATTCGCATCAGTTAGCATAGCACCGCGCTAGCAGAACATAGCTGCTCTGGGTAAAATTGTTCTAAAACATGTTACACAGCAAATGTGCCATTGTCAAATTAACACTGCATGATGTTTATATGGGCCCACACCATTCAGTGTTACCTATAATACTGTAGTGACTGTGGGGGCGGGGCTGCCTCCTCATTGGCTACTTCCACGCTGGCCACACAGAGCATTATGGGAGTTCATGGTTTGGGAGCGGGTTAGCGCTATATTGTTCCGGTATCGTGCTATGTTGTGCTGGGTGAAGGGCATGGGTTCATAGTGTGTTATTGTAATGGGTGCTGGCACCTTTGAGGCTGCCTGCCGGGGAAGCCACGCCCCACCGTCCTCGCGAAGCGGAGCCTGGTTAATGACGGTGAGCGCGGCTCGCTCGGCAAGGGGGAGAGAAAGGGCGGATTTATGAGGTGAATCAGTGCAGTGCAACCTCTGAACGCAAGAGGGTGCACAGGTTCCTTTAGCCTTCAAGGCTGGTAAATAATGGGTTGGATGTGTTTCAAATTGCACTTGAACTCCTTGTGTGGAGCCTTCATTTCTGTAGTAAACTTGGTCTCTCTCAAAGTTTGTTACAATACTTTACGGTATGCAGTGTACGGTATGCACTCATTTGAGCATTCAGCTGCTGTGTTTTACTAATCCACCATAGTAAGAAAGACTTAGACCAACATTGCCTTTTCTCATTTAAGCATGACTACGATAGATTTTTTTAAGAAAAGGCAATGTTGGTCTAAGTCTTTCTTACTATGGTGGATTAGTAAAACACAGCAGCTGAATGCTCAAATGAGTGCATATTAAAATGGGGCCGATATGGGCTATCCATTTTGTACTTGTGTGCCACCCTTATGGGCTTGCAATCTAGGAAGAGGTGGCGACTTATTGACTTAACAGTCTAGCTTGTCAATTGAACACTATATGAGTTAATAAATATTAACACTGTAAAAACAACACTCACTGCACACTGTAAAGTATTATAGGTAACACTGAATGGTGTGGGCCCATATAAACACCATGCAGTAATTTAACACTGGCACATTTGCTGTGTAACATGTTTTAGAACAATTTTACCCAGAGCAGCTATGGTCTGCTAGCACGATGCTATGCTAACTGATGCAAATTGTGGTCCCGTCATTTTTCATTAAGCTCCACAGCTAAATTACTTGAACAGAAGACACACGTTCCAATATGACAAGTATTATCTTCGGGGAAGCATGGCAAGACAGCATGAGACAAGGGCTTTTCTAGTTGCATTTTACAAATGCAATACTTCTTAGATACTGTATAGATATTTTATATAGTGTATAGTACTGTATATACAGTATTGTGCTGTACAATATAGATGTATTGAAATAGATTGACTGTACTCATATTTAAACCCTACTGATCATACACACATATTATGCACACGATTACATTCCACTATTCAAATTGTTTTCTACTTGACTGCTTTTGCAACATTTGCACAATTTCTGGATGTCTAAAATACCTATTGTATGCTTTTTGTGTTTAGAGTTCATATTAGTAATTTATTTATAAAAATTCTTGTACTCTAATAATTGGAACCATGTGTTTTGTGTGGCTCAGCGGGCTAAGCCTGTGTGCCTGTAATCACAAGGTCACCAGTTCAAACCCAGCCTCAGCATGTCTGTGGGTCCTTGAGCAAGGCCCTTAACCCCCAGGTCCCTGGGTGCAGCCATGAGTGGCTGCCCTTCACAGACAACTTACTTACAAAGCGCAAGTTGAGGGAGACGTAAAAGACAATTTCCCCATGGGGATTAATGAAATGATGATGAGTATTATTATTATTATTTAACGTTTATTAAAATGTTGAATTGTGAAATGCGGTTCTTGTTTTTTATTTCCCCTGACTTAAGTAAAACAAGGTACTAATACTAAAGAAAGTGTGTTAACTATTTGCATGGACATTTCTGAGTAGAAAACAACAAAAAAATTAAGGTAGAGCAACTTTATTTGAATGATGAGGTAACTTAATATTTAAATGAATATTGAATTAATATTAAGTAGGTATTACTTAATTTAGCTTTTGGATATAGAAGGAAAAACATGGTTATTGTACTTGATTTAATGGTGTAACTAACACATGCATTAAGTACAACCAATATGAAAATTCAAATAGTGCCCACTGAATATCGAGTAGATTCAAGTTAATATAGCTTTTAGTGTATTTAATGATTTCTGTTCGTGTAATAATGATAGTTTAGTAACAATTACTTTATAATACTGAATTGGGACAGTTAAGTTGGGACAATGCAAATAGTTAACACACCTTTTTGAGTAGCCCCAATACATTCTTTTTTAGAGTTTAGGGATAAGGATAATGGGCCTCATTCATCAACCGTTCTTACGAACAAATTTGTTCTTAAACCCCAAGTACGCACTTTTTAACAAACATTCTGACCTATTTATAATCCGCATAATCGCCGTTACTGCTATGAAAATTATTTTTACACTTTAAAATAATTTTTTATATTTTACTTTTATAAATTATTAAAATACTATCATTTTATGAACTGTAGAATGAACAAAACTGCTATAACCAATTATTTTGAACAAACTATCATTACTCAAATGTGCGTACGAATGGTCTTGAGTGTGCGTAGATTCTGTTCTTAGCTAAGAACAAATTCAGATAAGAAAACATTGGTGAATGTCACAATCTTTGTAAAAAAAGTGCATACGTGGGGTTTAAGAACAAATTTGTTTGTAAGAACGGTTGGTGAATGAGGCCCAATGAGATTTTCTGTATTGATTCTCATTGTGTCGCATGTCCAGACCATGACCGTGTGTTGCATACATGTTAGTAAACATCCCTGGCGCATCTTGCACTCTTAACATTGATCCTGGTGGCGACTATTTGTATTGTATGTAGCGGATCATAATGGTCATAGAAGTGTTATGAAGGCAATACCCCCCAATTATGGAGGGGTGATTCGCTCTCTGGATAAAATTATGTGACACTAATAAAAGAAATGTTAATTATATTTAAAGAAAATTGGCTCTATACCTGTCATCCCAATCAATATTCCTCCATGGTTTGTCAAGGATTGTTGGTTTCGTCTCCTGCTTCACCACTCGCTGCACAGTTTTCTTTCTCCTGGGGGTTCAGTACTGCTGCTGCCTCCCATTTTCCAAACACCAACTTCCTGACCTGTTCAATGAATGCATAGTATTTTCCTCATCCATTCAAATGCAAATTGCATTTAACAACAAATAATAAATACCTTTCTTTACCAGATGGTTTAATCCAAAGTGACAATTTAGAAAGCATGATCAGCCACTCCTTGGTGAAACTAGGGTTAAGACTATTGCTTAAGGGCCCAGGGGGGAAAAACACTTAACCCATCACAGGATCGGCAACCTGCCAATTACAGGCACAGAGTCCTAACTAAATTATCCATTGACATTGACCATTTCTACCAATGTAACAAATTTTCAAGAAGTGCTCGTACCAGGAGTGCTGTTAGAGATTTTGGGCCCCATGAAAGCGTATCATTTCGGGCCCTCAGCACAGATCAATCCAATTATGTTTGAAAATTTTTAGGGCCCCTATCAGTCAGGGGCACTTGGAAACTTTCCCCCCCTTTATGGCGCCCCTGGCCGGTACTGCTTGCCGGTGAGCACCAGAGCATATGAGCGGAGTGGAGCGGTGACAAATGTCACTTTAAACCGAAGCCTTATATCATAAGGATCTATGAGCAATGGCAACACTGTCACTCAGAACAGAAAATATTTATTTTTAAACAACATAAAGGCAACAACGGACAGGTTTGGCAATGGTATTCCACACAAAAATAGGCTTAAAAAGAAAGGAATCAGTGGGCTTAATAGCCTAAAGAATATACAGGCTAAGCATCCACGTTTTAAATTCCTCAATTTTTTTCTGTTGATGCTGCTGCTGCGTCTCAATAAAATTAAATTTCACTGACAGCGTTACATGAATTTAAAAAATCCTATTAGACCTGCTTTGAATGACAAAACTAATTTATTTAATCACCAATATTTACTTTATAGGCTATTATACTTTTATTTACTTTATAGACGTGATATGCTACAACCATATATAACTTGCTCACATTTTGCTCTGGCCTCTGCATGTTCTCGTAGTACACTCTTGTTTCCGAGAAAGGTGTCTTTTTAGATTCCAAAGTGAATGTTTACTCACTGAAACAGTTTCACCACATTGTTGTTCTTGCTCTACATTATTGTCAATATGTACACTTCTACAGTATGACCTGTCTGTTTCCTTTGTGAAATACTTTGCAAATTCCATCTTGGCCAATTTGTTTAACAGTCTTGATAATTGTACAGATGAATTTTGCATAGATTTGGGCACGTCTCAGAGTCGTAGTGTGAGCAGTATCAGAGCAAAATTGGAGCGAGACAGAGTGACCGCTCCAGCCTTAATTAAAAAACCGTTTCACGCTCTGACCAAATTCTGCCCGCTCTGCGCTCACGCTCCACTCCACTCACATGCCCTGGTGAGGATCAGCCTACGTCTGCTACTTCTTGAGGTGAAACTTGTCTAATCATGTTTCTTTTGTTCTAAAAAAAAAAAAAAGAGAACCTCACCTTGTAGGAAAATTTAATGTAAAATGATTTTAGACACCCCTAATGTGGACCGTACCATTTTAACCACCTCGGCGCTAGAAGCAGCCAGTCGGTTGCGTCATTCATTCTCATTGAGTGACCTGTTCATTGTGTTTGTCTGTCATGGTGCTGTTACTCGTGCATTGGTAAATGTAAGTAGCTAGCAGAAGTCTAGCCTGTTGAAAATGTGTTATTTTAAAACCTTCATTTATTCGTTTAAGTGTTTCATCTATTAATGCAAGCTGACGTCTTTATAAGTTTAATTACATAACATTGTCCTTCTGAGGCCGGTGTTCTGTTGAGTTGAGCTACTTTGTCGAGGTAAGCTACGGTAGTGCTAATCGATAGCCCTAACCATAGCTTACCTCGACAAAGTACCTCAACTCGACAGAACACCGGTACAGTCAACGTTAGTTACGTTAACTAGTAAGATAAGCTAAGTTCTCTATTTAATCCAGGCTTATTTGGTGAGGTAAAATCGAGCATGGTCATTTTCCAAGGAGATGAACTCCCTAAGTTTTCATTCTCATTTTATCACGAATAAATTGTGCCTTTCTGAAATTAATTAGCCACTTAGCCTGTGTGGTTTGTTATTAGGCTAATGTTAATGCATAAGAAGGTCTAACGTTATTATCTTACCCCTAGCGCATCTTGCACTCTCAACATTGATCCTGGTGGCGACTATTTGTATTGACGCAGTAGCGGACCATTTTGGTCATAGAAGTGTTATGAAGGCAGTACCCCCCAATTATGGAGGTGTAATTCACACTCTGGTCTCATACAGTAGCTTGTTGCTATTTAGTCAGAGGAAAAACTCTTGGAGATGAACAGGGCATGTCTCCAGAGTGGTATGTATTTCAATGGTGTGGGGGTGTGTTTGACTGCCAGTCCTACCCTTGGATGATTAACATATGTGGAAAGGTGTTAGGACAATTGCGGTGTGTTTTCAGTGCAGCTCCTGGTACCACCCATTCCCCTGTGGACCAATGGTGCTGGATGTATATTTGCATAGCATGACACAGTACTGTTTTTGACTTAATAGATTTTTTAAAAATCCACTGTGATTGTGATGAATAAGGCAAGAGAACAAAAACCACAGAAATGGCTCTTGGGTGCTAGCCAGAGAATGGGTGGGTTTGTTTAGTCTCTATGGCTTAATTAGCTATTAGATATTGGCTGGGAGAGAAATGCTATCCCATCACTGTGTTTCTTTTCTAAATCTCTACAAGTGAGATTTCTTTGGGGATGCACCTATATAAGAAAAATTACACTGCTCAGACCAATTAGCATACACCAACACAGGCAACCCAAAAAAGCAACTAATGTGGTAAAGTCTAATTTCAGTGCCATACCATCCTTGATCGTGGTGGGTTTCTAAAAATTAAGCTTAATGAAAGTCTTAATATTAAATAAGCATTTATTTTACAAGTTATTTGATTTGTTCTATCACAAGTTGTGCTCTAAATACAATGAGGCTACCACCCATTATATCTGCTTTAGCAGAAACACACTTCTTAAATCATTAAGATAGCTCTCACCTTTTTTTCAGCCCTGTTAAATATTTATGTTTAACACAGTCATAATCTGTGTTTGGTGACTGGTACCATACAGTTTATGCAGTTTATGCACTTTTATGCCACAGGCAGGTCTCTGTACAGTTCTTTGGTTATTAAGAACTGAACTAGAATAAAACTTACATGAAAAGAGAAAAGGCTATGTTGGTCTGAGTCTTTCTTATTATGGTGGGTTAGTAAAACAGCAACTGAATGCCCAAATGAGTTCAAATGAGAGTACATTAAAATAGGGCAGATATGGGCCACCCATTTTGTACTTGTGTGCCACCCATATGGGCTTGCAATTTGGGAAGAGGTGGAGACACATTGTCCTAACACTCTAGGTTGTAAATTTAACACTATAAGAGTTAATAAACATTAACACTGTAAAAACAACACTCACTTAACAGTGTTAAAGGTAACACTGAATGTTGTGGACCCATATAGACACCATGCTGTGTTAATTTAACACTGGCACATTTGCTGTGATTACTGTAGTTGAATGATGTTTTTTATTTTATTTATAGCAACTTGTTCTTTCTTTGGGCTACTTACAATATATTACTAACAACTCCAATGGTTTGAGAAAATCGGAAACTTCCATTTCCATATACACAGGCCTTGTACACCATCATTCAGCTGAACTTTTCACAAAGCCACTAAACATGAACAAGTTATGAGGTTTACTAGACTTTGCACACTATTATATATATATATACTCAGCAAAAAAAGAAACGTCCCTTTTTCAGGACTG